GCTGGAAAAACTGAACAGTATAAACACAAACAAAAACGTGGATCCGATGTCCCATACGTCTGATATCCAGGATTGGCTGAAAGACGATCAAGCCGCCTGTCGAATTCGGTGAAAAATCGGCGGAGGGATCCACATTCACCAAGGCCGGATAGCTCCGTGTTAATTACAACAAATTTGGCGTTGTCATCGAATTTTTCGTCTCGCTTGAAATTGGAGAGATCCTCAACGTAGGCCGCATTTACGCCCTCACCTTAGATGGGACATGTAAAGTTAAGGGCTAATGCATGTGCATCTTCGGTAAAATACCTATATTTAATATCAGCCCCGCGGATAACACAACAGTGAGCACATATGATGTGTCAATATACATTCAGAATGATTGTTGAATACTTTTGTTTGCCGAATAAAAACAGGACAAGTTAGATTAATAAGTTTGCTACTCAGGACAAAATCTCATGGCAGCTAAGCTGGACCTTAAAGGTAAATTTGGTAAATATTCCGGTAGATGTTCTGATTAATGGAAGGAATATGGCAGACTGGTTTTTCTGTTGGACTCCGGTACGGAATCCATCGGCGATGGCTGAGCCATTAGCAATCAATGAGTATAGGTAAGTACCACAAAATGAGGGTATCTGTGAGCGTCCTTTTGTTTTCGTTGCTGCTGTAAGCTAATAACGCCTTAGCCAGGCAAGACCCTGCGTTTTATTCAGTGTTACAAGCGAAACGGAGTTTTTGCATTCCATACCGAAAACAGGAAAGGTCAGTTAATGATACTTTCATGCGAGCTTGACTCCTCTCTCTTGCGACTGTAGTGACTAACTCAACACAAAGCGCTCTTAGAAACGCTTGCCGTGAATAGCTCCAGTCGAACGTACACTCATGAACGCTTGCCACTTCTGGCCTCTGAAACAGCCAATCACAGGCCGAATCACACGGGACTTCATGTGACAACTGCCGAGGAGAGTTCACTTCGCTGGCTTGCGGTTTGGCGGTCACCTGACAGTCAATTTCCTATTGTCTATTCTTACTTATTTCTACTTGTAACGGCTATGATCATGCCTGTTCTAGCCGGTGTCGATGACGTCATGGATGATACCTCTCAATGT